ACGCCTGGCCATTTTTTGGTTGCAGCCTTCATTGTTGTTTGGCGGGTCCAGGCTGGGGATTCGAACCCGCCACCTTAGGTGTACGTAGCTGGCGCCTTAGCCGGTTGAGCTATAGGCACCGAGCCTAGTTTTTCTATTTTTAGTGGAGACGGAATCTTGCTCTTGCTCAGGCTGGTCTTGAACTCCTGAGATCAAGCAATCCTGCCTCATACTAGCACTCCTGAGTGCTAATATTAAGGCGTGAGCCACCACGCCTGGCCTCATGTATGTTAATCTACAATGCTGCTGGGAGTCAGGCCGTGGGAAGCCTGGGCTCAGCCTGGCAGCAACTCCCTGACAGCAGGGGCCATAGCTACACCAAAGCTTCCCCTCCTCTGATGGGCAGGGGTGTGTGTGTGTAGCTGCTTTGAGCACAAAGTTGAAAGCCCCTGCCTGGAATCAGATCCCAGGCCTTTTGGTTACAGCAGTCACTGTCCCTCTGAGCCTCAGTTTCTATAAAATGAGAAAAGCAGTTAACATCTACTTCAGGGAGTTGTGTCCATAAAGCCCTTACATGGTGGCCAGTGTGCAGGGAGTGCCGTATGTTTTATTTTCCTGTAGGTAGGGCCCACATCCAAACCCAAGGGGAGATCGGACTGAAGACCTGTGAGCAGCTGCTGCAGTGTTTTGGGGTACATGGGGGACAATGTCTTAGGTGGGAGGGATGGGATGAGGATGTTGGGAGTCTCTGTTCCCCTTCTGGGACATCAACCTTAACCAAAAGCTCCCACCCCCAGCATGGAGGAAGCCTGGCCCTGCACCACTTCCAGCACCTCTGGGACCACCTCCTGGAGTGGCAGGTAAGGTGGAGGGAGAGGCACCTTTACTAACAGGGACATAAGCACCCAGGGGGCTATCAGGGTCCCAAGCAACAAGTGGGAACTGGACCCCACTCTGCTGACTTGGAAAGAACTAGCTGGGATGCCCCTGCCTCATCCACCTCTCTGTGGTCCCTTTAGGGACCTTAAATAGCTGAGGGGTTGAGAGCGCAGCCTCGGTCCTGGGTTGGAATCTCAGCTCTCCACTCAGCTCCTTTCTGTGTGACCACAGGCAAGTCACCTCCCCTCTGAGGGGCCTATGTCTACCACTGGGGCTCTGGATCCCTGTGAGAAGGACATGGTCAGGCCTCTTCATATGAGTCTCAGTGATAAGTCACTCTTTCCTGAGCCTCAGTGAGCCCTTGTGGGTAGAATCTGAACTTGTCCTCACAAGCCTGCAAACTTGAGGTTGTCCCTGCGTTACACGCTGGGCATCAGGTTTACAGCAAGAGGCTGCTCACCTGAGGCCCACACCAGAAGGAAGCTGGGATGCAGCCTGTCTGGCCTTGCAAGCCCCCTTTGCAGTCCTCTTCAGGGTGCTCGGTTGTACTCAGAGGCCTTGGGGTGAGATTCACTTACACCTCCCACCCAGGCCATATTTGATAAGTTTGATGAGGACGCCTCTGGAACGATGAACTCCTATGAGCTGCGGCTGGCGCTGAATGCAGCAGGTGTGGACAGGGGCCCTGGGGTGGTCACGGGGACAGGGCTTGTTTCCCACCTGTCTACCCACTCAGCTGCAGCTATCCACATGGTCCATATCTTGGTTTGCTGCCAGCTTCTGGCAAGGACTGGGTGACCTTGAAAGAGGCCAACTGGCGAAGGGGAGTAGAAACCTCCCTGTGGGGGTGAGGAGGACACATGAAGGGAGCGGGCCTGGGAAGCTTGGAAAGGAGAGGCCCTCCAGGAAGGGCAGGATTGGGAGTTGGTGTCTTAAAGGCCCTGGTCCTTGGGGCAATGTGGTAGAATGCTCTGGATTCTGCTAAGCTTGGGTCAGAATCCTCACTCTCCTAACCTACTCCTGGGGTGGCCTTGGGCCTAGGACTCCATCTCCTTGAGCAAACGGCTAATACACAGGGAGTACGAGGAGCCTGTGGAAGGCTGTGCACACACTTAGTGTCCACCACTGAAAGCCACAGCATGTCTCAAAGGGCCAAGAGCTTCTGCCCTGAGGCTGAGTCCGAAAAGCTAGAAAAAGCACAACCTCCCAACCAAGACATGGCTGGGGAGAAATGCTTCTCATGGGCTCTGAAGCAAATCAGAAAACATAGGAGTAGAGGGGACTTGGAGGCTGCAAGCAGAATGTGGAGCTCTCACATCCCTGACCTCACTCTGGGGCTCATCTGTCAATGCACAGTAGAGGGATCATAAGGAGATGGGGGGCTTGGCATGACTATGACTAAGTCGGAGAGCCAGCGGGAGGGTTTGGGTGTATGCAAGGTGAGACCCAGAAAGGGTGGTCAAGAGTCTAAGGATAGGCTCGGCGCCTGTGGCTCGAGCGGCTAAGGCGCCAGCCACATACACCTAAGGTGGTGGGTTCGAATCCCCAGCCCGGGCC